AATAAAATAATAAATTGATCAAATAAAATAACAATAATATTCTCACGACGTTTCGGCCACATCACAAGTGGCCTTCATCAGGTTAAGGGACGAGACTGTCTGGAGGCCGCTTGTGTTGTGGCCGAAACGTCGTGAGAATATTGTGTTATTTTATTTTATCAATTTATTATTTTATTCTCATTCTATGTGACTTTACCGAAAGAACCAAAGTAGAAGTATTTTATTTATTATTGTTTATTGGTATAATAACGTTATTAAAAAGGATACATTCAGAGACTTATTATATTCTAAAATTGGTGGTCTTAGTTAAAAATATACGCATTTAGTTGTATTCAGTGTTAAAAAATATCATATGGCTATACTCTTTGGTTATATTGGGTAAAGTCACGTAGGTGAAAATAAAATAACAAAAAATCACGACGAATAAATATCACATGGCTCTTACGGAAATGTATTTTAAAATATGTGGCTTTCCTGGCTCTCTCAGCCAAAGAGGTTCCCGTCCCCTGGCCTAGAGGGTGTTCCCATCACCAAGGCGTGTTGAAGCATGATCACGCCGTCTCCGTGATCGACGTGGCATGGGAAGGCCCATGTGCAGCATTTTGGTCTGACAAAAAAACTGCCATTAATTGGTAATTCATGAATAACTTTAAAAATGTGAATCAATTAAGGAAGTCATGGGAAAGTTACAAACATCTACTTTTCATTACCGCTCACATCTGTAAATGGAGCGATCGTATTTGGGTCGATGGCGCCCGTCGTTTTGCAAAGACACATTACTCTGCAGCCCCGGCAGGTTTGTTTATCCCTGAGCGCTCACTTCCGGGATTAGCTACGAGTCTCTCGAAGTTGCTTAGCAGCGTGACTTCAGTCACTTGACCTGCACTCGAAGGTCTTGAATACACTAACCAATACACGCATGAGTTGGACAGAGCCTGGAATTATCACGGTGTGAGAGCACGACCGGTGACGGGGGCGAACGGTGCAGTGGCGGCCACAGGAGACGAAGCTGTCCGAGAGCGAGCACGACCAGCTGGAGTGGTGAAATCCGCTCGTGTGTATGCCGTTTACAACGCATTAATTCTGTAAACACTACGCTAGATAAAGTGAATCAATAGGTGCATAGTGATGCTGTTTTTTTTTATACCATTCCTATAGCTACTACGGTCATATAATCTCCCGTGAAGCAATGTTTTACTTTAGTTTGTCGTTTAAAATAAATTCTACATACGTACATACAAGCTATCATCCAACAGCAAATAGATCACGGCTCACGATATTGATGATGATGATGAAGGGCTTAGCCAGGGGCAGCGGCCTGAGAGTGTGTGAGTGCTAACAGCTGCTCAGAATGACGCACTGGTGGCCTCATGATCTGTATTTCCCCTAGCAAGGAAGAACGATCACCTGCTGTGTTGATGTACACGAGCTTACATGATAATAATAATAATACAATAATAATGCAAAGTAAGAAAAAGCTTGCACAATAGAAGAAGACCTTATGCAGGCAGTGGTGAGGAGGAAACTGGCACTATGGAGGATGGACAATAACAGGAAAATTTAAAGTTTGTTAGTTCTTTCGGTAAAACCGACACACCTGATGACGACCGTTTGTGTTATGGTCGAAACGTCGTGAGAATTTTTATTGTTTTATATATATTTTATTATTTTATTGTTTCCCTTCAACGTGACTTTACCGACAGAACTAAGAATATGAATTACTGTAGTCACGAAAGCTTTAAATCAAAATTTTAAGTTTGTTGTTGTTGTTCGGATAAATGGAAGGGACCGGAAAGAGAGGAAGACCTCACAGAGAGTGGCTTGATGACGACGACATAAAGAGATTGATGCCAGAAGGATGAGGTGCTACTTGAGCATAGTGGCACAAGACAGAGAAAAGTGGAAACAAATGACGAAATGAGCAGCGGACACCTATCTGCCCATGGATTGTGATGATGCTGAATCATAATTATTATTTAGAGCCTTGTTGTTCGTCCACTGCGAGATGAAAGTCTTTCCATGCCATGTTAGTCATAAGGAATTGTTTGACCGTACTTTACCACGCTGGTTGGCTACGTACGGTGAGAAAGAAGTTCAACATACATACATGCAAAAGGGGGGCACAGGGTCAGGTTAGTTGTTTTCACTCGCCACTGATGTCGGCCGAATCTGGGAATCGAACTCGCGAGTGCCAATGTATAGGGACGATGTTGACAAGTTGGCATAGACCTCTGCACAAGCGGAGGCCCAGAACCAGTTCAGGTATTCATTCTTGATATTGGCCGTGCGAGGAAATCAAAATTGGGTCGCCGGGTTCGTCGGGCGCCACGGTGGCGAAATGTAAACTACCTCGCCTGGTATACAGGAGGTCGCCTGTATATTTGGAGTTCGAATATTTTCGCCGTGGTCGCGCAGATTTTTATCCAACTCCTCCGGTTTTCCCCTCAACATTTAGAAACATGGCTGCTATACAATTCCACGTGATAAGCCACTTAATTGGGCCATCAGCTGTGGTGAGGTCGCTTCTGAAAAAGAGCTATATAGCTCAGTGGGCCTTACCTGGTAAAATAAAACAGATTTGAAATACGGCAGGACCAATTTCTTCTGCCGTGGCTGATCATTATTTTAATGCGGCTGGCTCACACGAAATAGATTTCTCTAAGACGATGGTACTTTGCAAGCCTACTGGCTATCAACAAAGATTAGTTCATGAAGCCATCCATATATACAGACACAGGCACAGTTTCAACCGAGAGGAAAGATGTCATCAACCACTTTGGGTCATGACTTGACTTGTGATTTCTTGTCAATCAACATCCACCGTCAGCAGTGTGGTGTGTGGAGCGGGGTGCAGTGATTTCCTGGCGGCCCTTTGCTGCATTGGCATTGCTGCTGCATTGGCATTGATGCTGCATTGGCATTGCTGCTGCATTGGCATTGCTGCTGCATTGGTATTGCTGCTGCATTGGCATTGCTGCTACATTGGCATTGCTGCTGCAATGACATTGCTGCTGCATTGGCATTGCTGCTGCATTGGCATTGCTGCTACATTGGCATTGCTGCTGCATTAGCAATGCTGCCCTGCCCATGCTGCTGGTGCTGCTGATACACTTGAGCTACGCCAAACCTTCATAAACAGTTTGCCTTTCGAGGCTAACCCCTTTCATTTTATTTTATCTACGTGACTTTACTGAAAGAACCAAATAATATGAATTCCTGCAGTCACGAAAGTTTAAGTCAAAATTTAAAACAGTTTATTTGGAAGTGCAGTGCGCTAACCACTGCACCACCGCTCCAAACATAAAACAAGTTAAAGACATATTCCCCATAGTGCCTTAAACATACTGCTGGGGAATATGCTGTTATCAAGCACCTATAAAGGCCAACATGGCACAGGAGGGGGTGGGCAGACAGTTCCACGCCGGGCCACCTTTGTCTCCCCAGTGGCGATGTTTACACCATCGCTCCAGCTAAACATGTTGAGGCTGAGTCGAGCTAGGGGAGGCCCAGGACCAGTTTCCCTTCCTCCCTTAAAACCCATCTCTTCTCCCTAGCACCCCCCACCCCTCTCCCCAGCTATGACCAGGCCTATCCCTACCCCTTTCACTATACCCCTATCACTACCTCTATCACTGTACCTACTGCTATCCCTGCCCCTCGGCTAGGACCAGGCCTACCCCAACCCCTCCTTAACCACTTGCACCTCTCTTCCTGTCACCATGACTACACCACCACTTAACCCCCACGCTTTATTTCAACCGATATCAACTCACGCACACGGTCAGAATTGTCGTGAAGCCCCTTTGCAGCGAGGCGCTGTGCCGATCTAAACAAGTGTAAAATGAGTTAATCGTCACTGATGCTGCCCGTGAACGGGAATCAAACTCAGGGCAGAATCAGCGTCTTCATTTGGACTGGAAGAAGAATCCGATGAGCTATGAAGCGCTTTTTTAAAAGATGTCCAGTAGGCGCGGTTCAGCAGGGTTGCCGGGCTCAAAGCGCAGTGCGCTGAGCACTGCACCACCGCTCCCTACACACAGAGACGCTTGCGTGTCCGTCCGTGAGTGTATGTGTGTCTGTGTGCATGTCCATGTGCGTGTGTGTGAGTGTATGTGTGTCTGTGTGCATGTCCATGTGCGTGCGTGTGCGTGCGTGTATGTGTGTCTGTGTGCATGTCCATATGTGCGTGCGTGTGCGTGCGTGTATGTGTGTCTGTGTGCATGTCCATGTGCGTGCGTGTGCGTGCGTGTATGTGTGTCTGTGTGCATGTCCATATGTGCGTGCGTGTGTGTGCGTGTATGTGTGTTTGTGTGCATGTCCATGTGCGTGCGTGTAGGTGCGTGTGTGTCTGTGTGCATGTCCATGTGCGTGTGTGTGAGTGTATGTGTGTCTGTGTGCATGTCCATGTGCGTGCGTGTGCGTGCGTGTATGTGTGTTTGTGTGCATGTCCATCTGCGTGCGTGCGTGTGCGTGTATGTGTGTTTGTGTGCATGTCCATCTGCGTGCGTGCGTGTGCGTGTATGTGTGTTTGTGTGCATGTCCATGTGCGTGTGCGTGCGTGTATGTGTGTTTGTGTGCATGTCCATGTGCGTGTGCGTGCGTGTGTGTGTGTTTGTGTGCATGTCCATGTGCGTGCGCGTGCGTGTGTGTGTATGTGTGTTTGTGTGCATGTCCATGTGCGTGCGTGTGCGTGCGTGTATGTGTGTTTGTGTGCATGTCCATGTGCGTGCGTGTAGGTGCGTGTATGTGTGTTTGTGTGCATGTCCATGTGCGTGCGTGTGTGTGCGTGTATGTGTGTTTGTGTGCATGTCCATGTGCGTGCGTGTGCGTGTATGTGTGTTTGTGTGCATGTCCATGTGCGTGCGTGCGTGTGCGTGTATGTGTGTCTGTGTGCATGTCCATGTGCGTGCGTGTGCGTGCGTGTATGTGTGTTTGTGTGCATGTCCATGTGCGTGTGCGCGCGCTCGTGTGCGTCCGTGCGTGCGTGCGTGCGTGCTCGCCTGCGCACGGCGCCGGTGCGGAGGTTGAGGCGCTCGGTGGCCAGGGCGAGGACGCGCTCCCAGTCGGCCATCACGCGCCGCGGGATGAGCAACCGCGCCGGAGGCACCACCAGGTCCCCATTGGTGAACAAGCTGCCAGCGGAGACGGCGGGGAGGAGTGACGCGGCGCCATCGCTCGCCAAAATCATTCGCTCGCCAAAATCATTCGCTCGCCAAAATCATTCACTCGCCAAATCATTCACTCGCCAAATCATTCACTCGCTCGTGAACTCGCTCATTCAGTTGAACACGTACAGTAGTAGGGCTTTAGCGACCAATATTATCCAAGATAGGGGTTGTTTTGGGTTAGATCGCGTCAAAATAAATGTGTCGTTAAACCCGACACCACCCGACACAGCCAATTAGTAAGGCTTGCCACGTAAACAGAACATGCCGATTTGTTACTAGCACAGCACACCGATGTGTTGGAGAGTAAACCCACAATATTTACAATTAATTTACACTCATTCACTCACCAAATCATTCACTCACCAAATCATTCACTCACTCGCTCACTCACTAAATAATGACCTCACTCATTCACTCACTCACCAAAATCATTAATTCACTTATTAACTCACTCACCAATTAATTCACTCACATGCTCATTCACTCACTCATTCACTCACCAAATTATTCACTCACCAAATCATTCACTCCCTCACTAACTCACCAAATCATTCACTCGCATGCTCATTCACTCAATCACTCAGTCGCTCACTCACACATTCACTTACCAAATCGTTAACTCACACGCTCATTCACTCTCATCAACTCACTCATCCACCAGACCGTTTACTCACTGACTAACCCACTCAATAATTCATGCAGTAAAGCATTCATTTGCTCATTCACGGCCAAAAAGTCTACATCCGGAAATTACCCACGTAATTCTCCCAACACCACAAACAATAGCCTTTCAGCCAAGTGAAGGCCCATTGAGACGGGTCTGATTTGCATGTAAATGTACGGTTAATTATTAAAGCAATCAATTGTGTGCTTTTTTTCCGTGCCTTCCCATTGGTAATCATTGCAAGATAGACACTGTATATTATTACAATAGGCTCTGCCTGTGGTGGAGTGGTGGTACAAAGGTTAGCTTGGCAAAGTGTGGACAAACGACCTCCTCAGTCGACTCAACATGGGAAGGTCATCATTCAACAGTCAGAATCAGAATGTTTATTCGTACTGGAGGAATCCGATGAGCTACAAAGCTCTTTTTCAAAGATGTCCAGTTGGGGCTGGTCAGAACTTTACAACAACAATTAAAAAAAACGATAGGAGATCAAAGTATAGAAAAGGAAAATAAATCACTTTTAACAAAAAATATACAAATAAAACTAGCCAATTTTTGTATCTTACCAGGTGTGAAGGCCCACAGAGCTATTAGCTTCAGTTTTTGCAGAAGCAACCTGGCAATTACAAATTGTTGCCTCAACGAAGTGGCTTTATCATCATCACGTGGACAGAGAAAAGGCCTAAGGAAGTGGTTCTTCACCTAAATGCAGAGGTTTAATTAAACAAAGTAGTTGCACTCAGGTTTAATTAAACAAAGTAGTTGCACTCACGTGCCCGTGCTAAATTTGTGCTTTCGATTATTTACCTTCTAAAAAAAATCTGGCCATGACCCGCACCCCCAAAAAGGGAAATCACGCACCGCACCCCCAGGCAAAGAACCACTGGCCTAAAGCGACGACGACGATGATGCTTGCGGCCAGGCTACGGCCCCTCGCTCTTCGCGTACAGAAAGCGCGCGAGCCCCGTCGTGCGCACGCGGTGACGACCTCGCGGTTCCCGTGCTGACCCGATGTGGGCCAGTGCATTGTGGGGGGTTACCCCCCCCCCCCCTGCGGGTTAACCCGCTCGGTAATTATTGCCGGGCGGGATTAATGAAGCTGCGTCGTCGACTGCCTCTGAGCGTAGGCGGGAAGACAAATCTCCGTGAGGTCGTCGCCGGCGGCAATGTTGACAACATTGGGCCCCACACCCCGGTACGTTTCCCCTTGCCGCGGAAAAATTGGATTAATTATGCCAGAGGGGTATCGTACGAGTTGAGACAATGGGATTTTAGGGGGGGGGGGGGAGTTGCTCAATTGTGCGAAGGTCCTCCTCGCACACTCTTCTGTTAAGCAATATGCATATATTTCTAGATTTGAAGATTTCGTGACTGCAAGGATTCACATTCTTTGTTTTTTTCCGGTAAAGTCACGTAGGTAAAATAAAATAAATGAAAAAAACAACTAAATTAAATCACGACGTTTCGGAGGCAACACGAGCTTCCTTCATCAGGTGTAAAAAAAGTACAGCAAAATAACTGTAGAGAGTTATTTGTGATGATAGACTGTTATATAGGGTCAGAGGAGGGGGAGGAGCCAGGGAGGATGGGCGCAGCATGGGGGGGGGGTTGTGGGAGGAGCCAAGAAGGTGAAGCTCGTCCTAGAAAACATCAGAGCCACGGATGGGGGGGGTTGGGGACACGGAGCGGGGGAGAGTAGCAGTTGAGCTTTAACATGGTTAATCACATCTTTCCAATGATTGCTCAATTTTAATCCATCTTCTCGGTTGAAGTTATGTCTATGTTTGTATGTCTGTATGGCTTCATGGACAAATCTTTGGTGGTATCCAGACGGCTTGCAGAGTACCTTGGTATTGGAGAAAACAATATCATGATAACCACAGCGTTGTAACAGTAATCAGCTACGGCAGAATAATTAGTTCTGCCGTGTTTCAAATCTGATTTGTGCTCGCGAATTCGGTCAGAAATATGTCGTTTCATCTTCCCGATATAGCAGTCACCGCAGGTACAACTCAATTTGTAAACACCGGGGTACTGTAAGTCAGGAATGACATCCTTTACGGATGGGATCAGATCACGGATTTTGTGTACTGTATTGAACCGGACCTGGATCTTGTGTTTGTTAAGAATTTTGGAAATATTTTTGGTAACGCCTGCTATGTATGTCAGCGTGATGATTTTAATTGGAGTTTCAGGTGGTTGTTTCTGTATGGTGGGAGAAACAGCTTGGCGGATAGTACGGTCTGAGTATCCGTTCATCTTGAGGGTCAGATGTACATGTTTTAATTCACTGGCCAGTTGGTGTTGGTCAGAAATGCAATGAGCCCGATGGTATAGTGTTTTGATGAGGGGATTCTTTTGAGCCGGTTGGTGGTGGGAATCAGGCCAAGTAGGAATCTGTGTGGGTGGCCTTCCTGTAAACAGAATGTCCCAAAGAGCCATCAGGCCTCCTCTCAAACAGAACATCCAAGAATGGCAGCTTGCCATCTTTCTCCACTTCCATGGTGAATTTGATGGACCACATCAATTCCAGACACCCAACCATCAAATTCACCATGGAAGTGGAGAAAGATGTCAAGCTGCAATTCTTGGATGTTCTGTTTGAGAGGAGGCCTGATGGCTCTTTTGGACATTCTATTTACAGGAAGGTCACCCACACAGATTCCTACTTGAAGCCTGAATCCCACCACCACCCGGCTCAAAATAATTATCTCATCAAAACTCTATACCATAGAGCTCATTGCATCTCTGACCAACACCACCTAGCCAATGAATTAAAACATGTACATCTGACCCTCAAGATGAACGGATACTCAGACCGTACTATCCGCCAAGCTGTTTCTCCCACCATACAAAAACAACCACCTGAAACTCCAATTAAAATTATCACGCTGACATACATAGCAGGCGTTACCAAAAAGATTTCCAAAATTATAAATAAACACAAGATCCAGGTCCGGTTCAATACAGTACACAAAATCCGTGAATTGATCCCATCTGTAAAGGATGTCATTCCTGACTTACAGTACCCCGGTGTTTACATATTGAGTTGTACCTGTGGTGACTGCTATATCGGGGAGACGAAACGAAATATTTCTGACTGAATTCACGAGCACAAATCAGATTTGAAACACGGCGGAACTAATTATTCTGCCGTAGCTGATCACTGTTACAATGCTGTGGGTTATTATGATATTGTTTTCTCCGATACCAAGGTACTCTGCAAGCCGTCTGGATACCACCAAAGATTTGTCCATGAAGCCATACAGATATACAAACATAGACATAACTTCAACCGAGAAGATGGATTAAAATTGAGCAATCATTGGAAAGATGTGATTAACCATGTTAAAGCTCAACTGCTACCCTCCCCCGCTCCGCGTCCCCCCCCCCCATCCGTGGCTCTGATGTTTTCTAGGATGAGCTTCACCCTCCTGGCTCCTCCCACAACCCCCCCCCCCATGCTGCGCCAGTCCTCCCTGGCTCCTCCCCCTCCTCTTACCCTATATAACAGTCTATCATCACAAATAACTCTCTACAGTTATTTTGCTGTGCTTTTTTACACCTGATGAAGGAAGCTTGTGTTGCCTCCGAAACGTCGTGATTTAATTTAGTTGTTTTTTCATTTATTTTAATTTTATTTTTTACCTACGTGACTTTACCGAAAAAAAACAAAGAGTAATATGAATATAGCCTACGAGAGTTTACCATCCGATGTAACCAATAAACTAATCGGGGTTTTAACTTTAATGCGGCTTATTCCCTTCTTCCTTTTCCAAGCCTTTTACCGAGGCTGCTGGGTTCATGGACTTTTCGGCAGCAGCAGAAGATGTCCTCCACTGTCGGCAAATGTCGTCGTCATCGTCGTTACGATGTCCCATCCGCTGCTGATGCTTCCGTGTCATTCCTCTCCGTGCTGTTGCCTCTTCCACTCCGACAAGCCTTCTCGGTCGCCCACCAACCTCTGTTACCTTCCACTCGCTTAGCCATTCACTCTCCTCGATTCCTGTTTGCCATTGCATCCCTCAATTAGGGCACCGCGGTGGCGAGATGGTATGCAGGAGCGTCCTGCATTCGATCCCAACCCCGGCATTGTCTGTATATTTGGAGTTTTCAAGTTCTCCCCGTGGTCGTGTGAAATTTTATCCGGGTCCTCCTGCTTTTCCTTCCACATTTCCACGTGGTAAGCCACTTCGTTGAGCTATCATTTGTGGCCAGGTCGCTTCTGAGTAAGAGCTCTATAGCTCAGTGGGCCTTACTTGGTTAAATACAAATAGTAAGTGTAATTCCTTCTTTCTACTACTGTGTTATCAGTTCCACCTTTCATGTTCTTGCTTATGTCTGCACTTCCTATTCCATCTCACCTTGTCACTCCAAGTAAAATATTCGTAAGCATGTCAATTCCATAACCTGGTCGCGCATTTTTTTTTTGGTGTAGTTTCTTTAACACGGATGGTTTTAATGTGCACGGCCGTCAAATGTTAACGTTTGTCCTCAAGCGAAGTCTGTCGCGTACATTTGCTGCATCGTCAACTGTGTCCATTTACGCGGAAAAAAAAGAAGCTCCCAGCTCACTTGCAGGTCGGACAGTTAAATATTTTAGACCTAAATAAATAAATAAATTGAACTCTCATTTGCATTTTAAATAGCCCCGCTGTCAGTGCACTGAGCCCAATTAGGCAGGAGCTGAGTCATCACGGGGGGTGGGAAGGTAGGAGGGAGGTAGGGTGGAGGTAGGGGGGGGGGTCTTTCCGGCAATCAATTCCCCCCCTGGGGGAGCTGTTGCTGTGGAGTAGCATGCCCCCCACGTTCACCCGGTGTGAACTCTGATATTCAACTTATCTACGATAACGGATTATTTGTAGTATGATTATTTGGTGATATTTCATTGGCAGCCGTGCACAAGCACACGTAAGAAAAAAAAAATCCTGCAGCCAAAATATAATTAGTGATATTTCCAAAAAATGGATAATGGCCATTCTTCATGCCACTTGGTTGGACGAAATGCCATTACCCCAAACGTCACCTGTGATATATATTGCGTGGGACATTTTTTGCGAGTATCAAAGTATATGCTGATATATTTGTTTCCCTCTAAAGTCAGCGTAATGATGAGCATGTTGCCATTTACTGAATGGGCATTTGGTGGTTTGACTCCAAAGTTGTGCAACAGCGTACCTGAAAATATTGTTATTGCATCCACAATTGATCAATTTACGACTAACTTAGAGACATTATTTTCAGGTAGTGTTTGAATGACTCAAATTAACTGGACTACAAGGAGAGCATCCTCGACCACAGTTTAAATTTTTCATTTCGCTCCCGTTCGTTGCTTGCATCGTCTATCCCGTATATTTATATTTAAACGTGGTATTTAGTCTGCAATCCCTCCCTGGCCGAGCAATCGCTTCAAATTCCCCTTTGTTCCGCCGCCTCGAGCTGTAATCCATGCGAGGCGCGGTCTAAACAACAAACGACGGTGGTGATGACGAATCGATCTGAGCGCCCTGCGCAGAAGATAGTCTCTCGAGTTTCAGCTCCGTAAATTACAAATGCGTCTTTAGTTCGTGCCATTTTAGTCAGCCTGGGGAGGGGGGATGGAGGGTCATTTGTGGTGACATGTGCAAAGAGGTGAAGGAGCACGTGGTCGTGTGGTCGCGCGCATGAAGGCAGGGCGTGAACCCCGTGACTCACAATATAAAGCAGGGCTCAGGAGCGCACTTCCTCCACCGGGCGGACACCACCACCCTGCTGTGTAGCACCGGCTTGATCTGAACGCAGCACAACACGGCCACCCGTTACCCTCTTCATTCGGATCGCTTGTCAAAAGCATTACCCTAACAACAACAACAAAAACTAACTAATTATTTTTCTTTTTTTCTAAAAACTGACCGAAACTATTTTTACTATTTTTTACTTTAGCAGGTAAGGCCCACTGAGCTATACAGCTTTTTTTTTTCAAAAGCCAGCTGGCTACATATGATAGCTCAACGAAGTGGCTTATCACATGGAAATGTATAGCAGCCAAATACTCCAGACGCGTGATGTTTATTCTAAATGTGAAGGGAGAAAAGCGGAAGATCCGGAGATAATTCCACACGACCACGGGGAGAACATGCAAGCTCAAAATATGCAGGTGTCAGGGTCGGGATTGAACACATGACATCCTGTAGATCTGGAGATGTAGTTAACATCTCGGCACCTTGGCGCGCCCTACTAATGTGTAGGTATTCATGGCTGTGCTCTAGCTATCCGCTGTATTTTCGCTCCACGTGCCGGAAGCTTCTTCGATTCAGTTCCTGAAGAAGATCCCAGCACGTGGAGGGAAACTTCGGGCGTCATGCCCGAACAACGTGTGGCACCTCCTGAAAACACACCACAGGGCTATGCATGCTGTGATTTAAAAAAATAAACGACAAAACGCATGCCCCTTGTTGAGACCGGATAGCCTCGTGGTGCCTTCAAACTATCTTTCAGGACGGTTCTCGTGTTGGAAGTTCGGGGATTTTTTTTACTTGTGAATGTTTGGCAGTTGGGAGTAAATCTGGGTATGAGTAGAAACTCCAGTCGAATGAGAATGTAATGAAATGTTTTATGGGGATATAACATCTGCTTATTATTAACTTCTTTAAAGTACTGAGTGTATACCTTGGGAACCTTATGTGAAATACAGCATTGTCATGATCCACCATCATCTTGTGCCATCATCCACGATCACCGATCATGCATCACCCAATCTTCATCATTTACAAGATCGTAAGAGATCATTGGTCGTGCAATACGTGCCAATCAGGATGACAAATTGTCAGCCGGGAAGCATCAAACATCGAGGATGATCCCAGCTGGTGGTGATGCAGCCTCTGGCATGGTGAAGTGTGTGGCTGCATGGAGACCGCATCTCTGAGTGTAATGTTTTTAAATAATATGTTGCAGGTGAGCCATCCAGTCAAATAGATAGATAGATACAAATATGTATGTTGAACTTCTTTCGCACCGTACGTAGCCAATCGTGCTAGTCGGAGGTGCGGGGGAAGGACAACAAACCAAACACAAAAAGGAGTTCAAAAGAAATGAGCATTCAATCTCGATTTAAAAGAGCATATCCCCAATGATGAGTTAATATACAGTACAGCACAGCACATTTAGCGGGAAATTTCAGTTGGTTGTGTTACTACATTTCACAGGTTAAATTATATGAAATATACTCTGGTGTCTAGTCTTTAGTTTGCACACATGGATCCTTTGATGTTTATTTGTAGATTGGCAGAGGAAGGAAATCACAAGATGTGTGATGTCAGGAAGTGAGGCAGGGTTACATCCCTGGAGATGCGTGTCTATGTCCAGGTACTGGCAGCAGTGACGGAGTGTTCCTGTTTCTGAGTGTAAATGCTTCGTGTTCCTGAGTTTTAAGTAAAAAGCCACTATTCGTTTGGAAAATGGAATCTTTGACTCGTTCCTTTAGCCCGCCATGCAACCGTTGAGTGACGAGTGCAACACGTGGTGTAAATAAATCAGCACTCTCAAGAGTGCAGCCCAGAGAGCAAATTCTTAACGTATGGAACATGATCAACACTCGCCCATGGTGAGTGTTACGAATCCGGCGACCCAAGTTCGATTCCCGCTCGTGGTCACCGACACAAAACCGGTCCTGGGCCTCCCCCCCCCCCCGACGACCTGGTGTGACGTAAAAACATCGCCACTCGGCACTGGCCACCCACCCCACTTGTGCACCACGTCGGCCTTCAACAGGGGCCACTCGCTAACAGCACTTTCCCCAACAGTCTGTTATGCGTAAGGGTGAGTGGGGGAGGAGAGAGTATTTCACTGATCTGTAGGATGATCGTGACTTAGACAAGCCATGTAAGATTGGGGATATTGCTGCTGCTGTTGTTTGTTTGTTTGTCTGTTTACACATTCTATAGAGGTGGCACGCCTGTCGATGGACACCCTCATTGCCCTGCATGGAGAAGGAGGCTGTCACGTGGCTGTGTGGCTAAGTGGGGCTGACGTCCACCCACAATATAACATCGACGTGCATATGCGTTTGTTTAACAATTATAATTTACTGTCAATGTGCTGCTCTAGCTGCGTAAGAGTCACGTGTAAATAAGAAGCATTCGCTAAATAAATCACACACAAACACGATTTCCAGATTGAAAACGAAATTCTTTTGAACGGATTTTTACGCGTTTAGTTTGTGGTCCTTTCCCCCGCCCGGCCCCCGCCACCTCCGATGAGCACGATTGGCTACGTACGGTGCGAAAGAAGTTCAACATACATACATTGCATCCCTCAATTACACCTCCACTCGCAAGGAAGCAACACAACCTTCCAGCGAGTAAAACGGTCAACGTGACGACAGCCCATTTACGCCTCGATTTAACACCGGAACAAGAGGATTTCTCCACAACTCTGGCCCACGCCTACTGATGCCAGTTGTAATTACTGCGAAACGTCGTACTTGAATTGTAAATGTGGGTTTACTCTCCAACACACTGGTGTGCTGTACTAGTAACGAATTGCCACGTTTTATTTACGTGACAAACCTTACTAAATTTGCTGTACTGGGTGATGGTGAGTTTATATATTTACGCATACAGTGAGGGAAAAAAGTATTTGATCTCCTGCTGATTTTGTACGTTTGCCCACTGACAAAGAAATGATGAGTCTATAATTTTAATGTTAGATTTATTTGAACAGTGAGAGACAGAATAACAAAAAAAATCCAGAAAAACGCAGTCAAAAATTGTATAAATTGATTTGCATTTTAATGAGGGAAATAAGTATTTGACCCCTCTGCAAAACATGACTTAGTACTTGGTGGCAAAACCCTTGTTGGCAATCACAGAGGTCAGACGTTTCTTGTAGTTGGCCACCAGGTTTGCACACATCTCAGGAGTGATTTTGTCCCACTCCTCTTTGCAGATCTTCTCCAAGTCATTAAGGTTTCGAGGCTGACATTTGGCTAGGCCACTCCAGGACCTTAATGTGCTTCTTCTTGAGCCACTCCTTTGTTGCCTTGGCCGTGTGTTTTGGGCCATTGTCATGCTGGAATACCCATTCACGACCCATTTTCAATGCCCTGGCTGAGGGAAGGAGGTTCTCACCCAAGATTTGATGGTACATGGGGATCGTGTTCTTGGGGTCATAGGCAGCATTCCTCCTCCTCCAAACACGGCGAGTTGAGTTGATGCAAAAGAGCTCCATTTTGGTCTCATCTGACCACAACACTTTCACCCAGTTGTCCTCTGAATCATTCAGATGTTCATTGGCAAACTTCAGACGGACATGTATATGTGCTTTCTTGAGCATGGACACCTTGCGGGTGCTGCAGGATTTTAGTCCTTCACGGCATAGTGTGTTACCAATTGTTTTCTTGGTGACTATGGTCCCACCTGCCTTGAGATCATTGACAAGATCCTCCTGTGTAGTTTTGGGCTGATTCATCACCGTTCTCATGATCATTGCAACTCCACGAGGTGAGATTTTGCATGGAGCCCCAGGCCGAGGGAGATTGAGAGTTATTTTGTATTTCTTCCATTTGCGAATAATCGCACAAACTGTTGTCACCTTCTCACAAAGCTCATTCCAGCCTTGTGTAGGTCTACAATCTTGTCCCTGACATCCTTGGAGAGCTCTTTGGTATTGGCCATGGTGGAGAGTTTGGAATCTGATTGATTGATTGCTTCTGTGGACAGGTGTCTTTTATACAGGTAACAAGCTGAGATTAGGAGCACTCCCTTTAAGAGTGTGCTCCTAATCTAAGCTCGTTACCTGTATAAAGGACACCTGGGAGCCAGAAATCTTTCTTATTGAGAGGGGGTCAAATACTTATTTCCCTCAATAAAATGCAAATCAATTTATAACATCTTTAACATGCGTTTTTCTTGGTTTTCTTGTTGTTATTCTGTCTCTCACTGTTCAAATAAACCTACCATTAAAATTATAGACTCATTATTTCTTTGTCAGTGGGCAAACGTACAAAATCAGCAGGGGATCAAATACTTTTTTCCCTCATTGTACCTGTCAACTCCTTATCGGTGCCTACCTAATTAGAGACCAAATCAGACCTTATTGGTTACCCCGTGCCCTTATAAATCTCAACGTTCATCTTACAACGTCCCATCACAAAGGAGAAACAAAAATAAATAGACAAAAATGATTTTACTACGCAACTGTGTTACGTATTTATTTTAATCATTGGTGTCAATTATGCGACTTATCATGCTATTGTCTCTGCTCTTGCATGCTGCTGCTGCTTAACTTAATAAAAAAAAATAGCCTTCCCACAACTTTTCTTATTTGGCCTTATGCATTTTTTGTTGTTTCCCATATTGAAACGGCTGTATGCCGTATGGACCTGAAAACGCAATTTGCCTGTTCAAAAATACGGGTAAAGCGTATGGTTTGACAGCTTTGCGTACGAGACTTAACCCAAAATCACCTCTCTTGTGGATGCTTTAGTCCCCTCGCCTCAACTACTTCCCTCCGTCCCGGCGAGGCCGCCACAGAGGGCACTGTCATCCGGTCCTCGCCTGTTCCTGGCGTTTCCCCCACCTCCCTCCAACCACCGATGGACAAGCCCCTTGGAGCTACAACCACGCCGACCCATCCCGTCCTGTCCTGAGCCACCGTGTCGAGGACGAGTGGCAACGGAGCGGGGAAGTCTCTTGCGCGCGTGATGAGAGTGGAGTCACAGTCCCGTTGTCCCGTCCCAGCCCGTGTCAACACATGGCTAGTTTGGGTTTTTGTTGCTTCCGTGCGAACTTAC